ATGCAATGAGAAATCCCAGATTCAAATTTCGGTTGAGCCCTTACAGTTGTCTGCTGTTTTGTAAGGTCGTTGTGGCTTACACAGAGGCCTTTTTTCTGAGAATGCCGGTTTGTCAGCAGATAGTGTTGCCATGTAATATGGCTGTTTTGCAGTTGCTCGTTGGTCTACGGGCTTGATTTTCGCATAAGGTGCGAGAGGTCCCGTTTTCAAAGCCTGGACGAACCATTGCAGAAGTCCCGGGTCCAAATGAAGCAAAAGCCCTTCTTCAATGTTTGTAAGATAAGGATTTCTGACCATCTGTTGCTGCTGATGTCTTGTGAAATAATCAAGCATTTGTGGCTCGTTGGTCTAGGGGTATGATTCTCGCTTAGGGTGCGAGAGGTCCCGGGTTCAAATCCCGGATGAGCCCTAGCATTTATTCTGTTTTTTTACAGGGCTTTATGGCTTTCATAAAAAACGTTTTTCGAAGAATTCCAGGTTGTCAGCAGATATTGTCGGCACATAAAACATTTCTTTGCTTAGTGGCTTGGTTGTCTAGGAGTATGATTCTCGTTCATCCCATGAGAAATCCCAGATTCAAATTTCGGTTGAGCCCTTACAGTTTTCTGCTGTTTTGTAAGGGCGTTGTGGCTTACACAGAGGCCTTTTTTCTGAGAATGCCAGTTCGTCAGCAGATAGTGTTGCCATATAAAGTTACTGTTTTGCAGTGGCTCGTTGGTCAAGGGGTATGATTCTCGCTTAGGGTACCCTTGATTCGTTAGAGAAAGTTTTCTGACTATCTGATGCTTCTGATGCCATGTGAAATTCTCTCAGTTTAGTGTCTCATTGGTCTAGGGGTATGATTCGCGCTCGGGGTGTGAGAGGTCCTGGGTTCAAATCCCGGACGAGCCCTTGCAGGTGTCATGTGTTTTACAGGGCACTATGTCATTCACTAAAATGTCTTTCGAAGAATTCCAGTTTGTCAGCAGATAGTGTCGCCACATAAAACATTCCTTTGCATAGTGGCTTGCTGGTCTAGGCGTATGATTTTCGTTCATGCAATGAGAAATCCCAGATTCAAATTTCGGTTGAGCCCTTACAGTTGTCTGCTGTTTTGTAAGGTCGTTGTGGCTTACACAGAGGCCTTTTTTCTGAGAATGCCAGTTTGTCAGCAGATAGTGTTGCCATATAAAGTTGCTGTTTTGCAGTGGCTCGGTGGTCTAGGGGTATGACTCTCACTTAGGGTGCCCTTGATTCGTTAGAGAAAGATTTCTGACTATCTAACGCCTTGTGAAATTGTCTCAATTTAGTGGCTCATTGGTCTATGGGTATGATTCTTGCTTTGGTTGCGAGAGGACCCGGGTTTAATTCCCGGATGAGCCCTTGCAGGTGTACTGTGTTTTACAGGGCATTATGTCTTTCGTAAAAACGTCTTTCAAAGAATTCCAATTTGTCAGCAGATAGTGTCGCCACATAAAATATTTCTTGCATAGTGGCTTGCTGGTCTAGGAGTATGATTCTCGTTCATGCCATGAAAAATCCTAGGTTCAAATTTCAGTTGAACCCTTACAGTTGACTTTTGTTTTGTATGGGCGTTGTGGCTTACACAGAGGCCTTTTTTCTGAGAATGCCGGTTTGTCAGCAGATAGTGTTGCCATGTAAAGTGGCTGTTTTGCAGTTGCTCGTTGGTCTACGGGCTTGATTCTCGCATAAGGTGCGAGAGGTCCCGTTTTCAAATCCTGGACGAACCATTGCAGAAGTCCCGGGTTCAAATGAAGCAAAAGCCCTGCTTCAATGTTTGTTAGATAAGGATTTCTGACCAGCTGTTGCTTCTGATGTCTTGTGAAATATGCAAGCATTTGTGGCTTGTTGGTCTAGGGGTATGATTCTCGCTTTGAGTACGAGAGGTCCCGGGTTCAAACCCCAGATGAGTCCTTGCAGTTTCTCTGTAGTTTTACAGGGCATTATGGCTTCCATAAAAAAACGTTTTTCGAAGAATTCCAGTTTGTCAGCAGATAGTGTCGGCACATAAAACATTCCTTTGCATAGTGGCATGGTTGTCTAGGAGTATGATTCTCGTTGATGCCATGATAAATCCCAGATTCAAATTTTGGTTGAGCCCTTACAGTTGTCTGCTGTTTTGTAAGGGCGTTGTGGCTTACACAGAGGCCTATTTTCTGAGAATGCCAGTTCGTCAGCAGATAGTGTTGCCCTGTAAAGTTGCTGTCTGAGTGAACTATGCTTTTAAGCCAGGGGTCACCAAACCTGTTCCTGGAGGTCTTAAAATGACAACCAAAGAGGTTGTTTCCAGTTTTTTCCAGTTGTTTACACACAATTTCTGAAAGCATGTTTCATATTGTCAGAACTCTACACACAAATCACAAAACACACACACATTGGGCAAAACTCTTCAATTCTTCTGCAAAATGAAACTATAAGTTCAAAACAATGTGATTTCTTCTCAAAATGGTATTTTGTTTTCAAATGACACACACAAGCCATCACATTAACAGACATTCATAAGATAAGTTAAACACTAATGTGCTTAATGTAAAACACTATGACCACTTCTTCTCTATTCATCATAATGACTTTCTGTAAGCCTTTTTCAGTTCAGTGTTACACTTACTACAGACAGTACATAGACCTACAGAAGTGCATTGTCAAATTTTTCTGAAAATTGTTTTTATACAAAACAAACAAATAACGAATATATTTTACTGTATTTTCCCCACAAAAACAGCGTACAAAGTGTTGATACCAACCAACACAAAGTTGCAGAAAATGTGGTCTACATATACCATCAACAGAAGTGTTTACTAAATACAGTTACAGAAAATACATAAATAAATAAATAAAACAAACAGCTATACTGCATTCTCTTTTCTGTTTTGGTGTGGCCAAGCAGTGGGGGAAATGTCACCTTGCATGGCAAATCCAGCCATGAAAAGCATCAACTGCTATAGCTTGGAGAAGGGGTATAGGTGTGTTTGGATTTCGGTCTTACACTTTTCATCTGCAGGCAGGAAAAAAATCCTCAATAGTTTTGAGGAATGGAGATTATGGAGAGGGAGATAAACAACTAAAAAACATGGGTGTGCAGTAAACTAGTTGTGAATCAGATGAGCTCTCAAATGTAATTCAATTTGTCGCACTATCCATTATGCCTCAAAGCTATACAGTTTTATAATTTATTTCTTTAAGCTCTATGAAAAAAGCACACGCACCAACCTGAACTAAGGCGCTGCTGGGATTTGAGCCCAGGATCTCCTGTTTACACGACAGGCACTTTGACCAGCTAAGCCACAGCGCCACAAAAATTAATTGTAAGAGACATTTGCCCGATAACAAAAATCGAAGAAGAAAAAAATACACAACAAAAAACAGCATGTCAGGATGCAGAAAATGCTGACCAGATGGATGTGGTCTTTTAGAGTCTGGATGATCATGTCTCAAACTTGACCGGTAACCTGGCCTCTGTTCAAGATCAAAGCAAAAAATGCATTAATTTATTTTTATTTAATCTATCCTTAATCATGTGTTAAGTGTTTTTTGGAACCTCCAGTTACATTACATCCAAACCCACTTTCAGCTCGGAAAATGGAAATCATTTAATCTAAGATAATGGATAGCGCATTGGACTTCTTGGCTGTGAGCCGAGTCATTTAAAGGTTTTGGGTTCGAGTCCCACAAGAGTTGCAAGCTTTGCCCTTTTTCTTCACTGACTTAAGGTGTGGTGCATTTCCAACATTTCAGGCATCTGTCCATCCCGTTTTGCTTTTTTCTTTCATTGCGCAGTGCAGGCTCAGATACTATGGGTACTCTACAAGGAAGCCGATGAATTAATTGAGCTGTTTTAAATAAGGAAGATTATAAAACAGTGTAGGGCCGAGTGGACTTGAGGAATGACTTGAAGGCAACCTGTGGTTTAGGGCAAAAGTAACTGCCATCTATTGTTAAGATCACGCCTTTTGGATTTGTCATACAAGAGCCTCTTTATGCATGTGCAAAGTAACTGAGTAGAAAGCATAGTAAATTTTGCTTCCCCCGCACTGTCTTAGATGAAACTGCATTTGGAAGTATCGTATCCAGAGGTTTTTTCTTTTAGTGTTAAGACTAACGGCTGTTTCACACCGCAAGCGCCAGCAGCGCGTGAGCAGAGCGTGTTTTTTCGGCGTCCATGTTAACAGATTAGAGCTTTCATAATGCACGCAGTAGCAGCGTGTCAGAGCGAGGCGTGAGCGTCGATGAAGCAGCAGTGCAGCGATAGTTTCGACGCCGGGTCTATTTTTGACGCGCTGCTCACGCTCAATTAAAGTGACAGTGCATTAATAATGACCAAAACACAATGAATGACAGCAAAAAGTAGCAATTGTACCCAATAAATGCCTTAATAATGTCAACTGATTTATATATAGTCAATTGTAACCCAGGTTACTAGTGGGTAGTACACAGCAATAGAGCAAATAGAAACACCCTTATAAATATGAAAAAAAAACATTGGCAGAATACTCGATTAAATATTATATATTAAAATTATTTTTTATATAAATAATTCATAATAGAGTATTATACAGCATTCAAGGGAATAGTGCTTTAGAAGAACATCATCGTGCCTTACACTATTGTAATATTCTATGAAGCAGTAGAATCTGGAGGCAGGATGGATGTAATTTGAGGCTGTTTATTTAACAGATGCTGCACACAAAAACATGCTGTGGATCCGGCTAGGACAACAACACACTGCTCTGTCGAACTCTCAGTGGAAGGCTTCTTATTAGCTAAGGACCCCCTCTAGCGGTCACACTACCTCATGACATGTTATTGCTAATTCACTACATCCCCTTCCCCCTGATAACAATAGTGCCTTAACAACTTAATCAAATATACTAACAACATTATGATTTTTATTTATTTATTTTTTTTACACAGTCTAAGCTAGGGACTTCGGGTAGACTGCCTCCATCCCAGTGAGTTCCAGGACGCATTCTTGCCCTGTGGCTGGGGAACTCACCACTACTCTAAGCATAGTCTTTTAAGTAACTGGGCAACTTCTTTGTCCTCGCAGACCTTCTGAGTTCCGGCTGCTCCTCTGCCTTCACAGTCCCTGACACAGTGACCTCGGGTGTAATTCCACTTGCCTGCTGTCCAACACTGTTCCCTGATGGTACAGGGTCCACTGATTCAGGCAATGGCCACTCCTCCAACTCTTGCAAGGAAGTATCCAACCCCACAGCTGTTTCAGCCGGAGATGCCACCTGTCTGGTCCTCTCCTGATCAATGTGCCGACGCACTACCTGGCCATTACCAAGTGCGATGGTATACAACAAGGGTCCCGTCCTTTTCTGCACTGTTCCTGGAATCCAGGTAGGTCCTAAACTGAAGTTCTTGGTATACACAATTTCACCAACACTCACATGTCTCTCTTTTGCATGCAGATCATGATACCACTTCTGCTTCAATTGCTTGTTTTGCACTTGGCTTTTAAAGTCAGGATGAACAAGATCCAGGGTAGACCTCAGTTTGCGTCCACACAACAGCTCTGCAGGTGATTTTCCCGTAGTCGACTGTGGTGTAATTCGATAACTGAACAACACTCTGGCAAGCCTGGCCTCAATGGAATCTCCTGTGCTCTTTTTCATTAGACTCTTGAACGTTTGCACAGCTCGTTCAGCCAAACCGTTAGAAGCTGCATGGTATGGTGCCGTGGTTATGTGCTTGATGCCATTACGACTCATAAATTCCTGAAATTCCTTACTCGTGAAACAACTGCCATTGTCCGACACCACTATTTCCGGTAACCCATGCTGGCTAAAACTTTGTCTCAGGCACTGGATGGTAACAGCAGATGTAGAATTATTCAAAGGAAACACCTCTATCCATTTAGAGTACGCATCCACCAGAATCAGGAACATTTTCCCTTGCCACGGACCAGCATAATCAATATGGATCCTTCTCCATGGCAGCTGTGGAATTTCCCAAGGGTGTAAGGGTGCACAAGGAGGGGTGTTCCTGCTCTCCTGACATCTGATACATGTTTTTACCAGCCCTTCCACAGCAGCATCCATCTGGGGCCACCATACATAGCTCCGTGCCAACCCTTTTATTCTGGTTATGCCTGGATGGCCACTGTGTAACTGTCTGAGTATGGCTGCCCGGCCTTGGGGTGGAATTACTACGCGGGCACCCCACAATACACATCCTCCCTGGACACTCAGTTCATCCTGTTTTTTAAGGTATACTCCAAAAGCTGGATCCTCCACTGTCTTGGGCCATCCTCTAAGCACGTACTCCCTTACTCGAGCCAACACAGGATCTTTAACAATCCATTTTTCCACCTGCTCTGCTTTAACCAATGAAACATCATTCTCGTCCAACAGTAGCACTCTCTCCTCCTCTGCTGGGGTTTCCACTCCTTTTTCCGACAGTGGCAACCGGCTCAGCCCATCAGCATTTTCATGCTCACGCCCTGCTCGATACACAATAGTGTACTCATACCCCCCTAAAGTCACAGCCCATCTTTGAATACGTGGAGAAGCCATCTGTGGCACTTCTCTGAACTCATTAAACAGTGCTATCAGGGGCTTGTGATCAGTCACAATGGTAAAGGGTCTGCCATACACATATGTGTGGAATTTCTTTACCCCGAACAGGACGGCCAAACCCTCCTTATCCAAGTGTGAGTAATTCTTTTCTGCTGCATTTAACGTCCGTGATACAAATCCTATTGGTCTGTCAGTCCCGTCTTCCATCCTGTGAGACAAAACAGCCCCTACTCCATATGGTGAAGCATCACACGCCAAGATAAGAGGTTTGGTAGGATCGTAGTGCACTAGTAAAGCAGATGACTGGAGAAGCTCTTTTGACTTCGCAAAAGATTCTTCCTGCTCAGAGCCCCATGTCCACTTTGTTTCCTTCTTCAACAACCTGTGCAAGGGTGCCAACACTGTGGACAGAATGGGCACAAACTTATGATAATAGTTTAACAAGCCTAGATAAGCCTTCAGTTCACTCACTGTCTGTGGCATGGGGGCTTCCTGTATCGCTTGCACCTTTTCTGCGTCTGGCTGCACGCCTGCAGCACTGATGCGGTGGCCCAGGAATACCACTTCCTCTCCCAGGAACTCACATTTGCTCCTTTTTAGTCTCAATCCACTCGATTTTAGTCTCCTCAGAACCTCCTCCAGATTCCTCAGATGCTCTTCATCATTAGCTCCTGTGACTAATATGTCATCCAAATACACCACAACGTGCTTCAAGTTTTGGAGAATTCCCTCCATGGTGCGTTGGAAAATGGCTGGACTTGATGCCACCCCAAAAGGTAGTCTACAGTATGTGTACAGTCCCTTGTGTGTGTTAACAGTGACATATTTCTTTGCACTTTCATCCAGCATAATTTGCTGATACGCATGGCTCATGTCCAGTTTGGAAAATTTCTGACCTCCAGCTAACTGAGTGAACAAATCTTCCACTTTTGGAATGGGATATTGTTCCACACTGGATGCTCTATTTACTGTGAGTTTATAATGTCCACAAATTCGAATAGAGCCACCTGGTTTCCTCACCGGCACGATAGGAGCTGCCCACTCCGCAAACTGCACTGGTTCAATAATTTTCTCCTCAACCAGTCTCTGGAGCTCAGCCTCCACCAAGGGCTTGACTGCAAAAGGAATACGTCTGGGCTTAAAGAATCGTGGTTGGGCCTCGGGGTTGACATGAATTTTAGCTGTGGTGCCTTTGAGCTGCCCCAGCTCTTCTTTAAACACCTCTGCGTGTCTATCTAACACATCTGCTATCTTCCATGTCGGCACTGCTGTTACTTGATTTACCAGCTGTGGCAACAGCCCAAAATCTTTCAGCCAGCTTCGCCCCAACAAGTTAGGCTCCTCTCCATCTACCACAACCATTGTCATTTCTTTTTTTACATTTTGGATTTCCACCGTTACTGTAGCTTGACCCAGCACTTCCATCCTTTCCCCTGTATAGGTCTTTAGTTTCATACTGCAGGGTCTCCATTCTGGCATGTCTGCTTTCTTCCACAACTTAGAATATTGCCCTCTGCTGATAATTGTCACTCCACAACCCGTGTCGACTTCAAAGTCCACTTCCATGCCATTTACACTCACTTTCTGTGTTATAGGGCCCACTTTTGGCTGGACTTGGGATACACTGTATATTGTGTTAATATCACTGGTGTCCTCCCTCCCGTTACATTCCTCCTCTCTAACGAGATAAGTCCTCCTACCTTTCTCTTTTTTCTCTCCTTTTTGTCCTTTGAATGGAGTGTTTTGCCCCCCCCCCAGCAGCTTGTTTCGCCCTGCATACGCGCTTGATGTGTCCCCGCTTTCCACATTTATGGCAGAGCTCATTCAAAAACTTGCATTCCTCTGGTGCATGCTGTCCTTTGCATTTGTAACACACCATGTCTTTTTGTCGACCCTTCTTCTCAAATGTGTACACTCTATGCACTGCTGCCGGTCCTTTAAATGACTTCATGGTTTGTGCTGTGTCCTCCATTAACAATCCATGCAAATCTCTCACATTCTTGTTTGCAGACTCCATTGCCTGGCAGATTGTCAGTGCCTTTTCAAAAGTTAGCTCCACTTCCGATAGCAGCCTTCTCTGCATTCGGTCGTCGTTCACTCCACAGACGAGTCTGTCTCGCAGCATTTGTGGGAGTGTAGACCCATACTCACAGTGCTGTGCTAACTTTTTCAGTTCTGCCACAAAATCAGCAACAGTCTCACCATCTTTCCGTGTACGTGAGTTAAACTTAAATCTTTGCACTATCTCACTTGGCTTAGGATTGTAATGAGTCTTTAGCACAGTCACCAGCTCCTCATAAGTTTTGTCTCCTGGCTTTTCAGGGGAGATCAAACTTCTTAATAAACTATATGTCGATGCCCCAACACCACTTAACAGCACCGCTTTCTTTTTCTCAGCACTGTCAATTCCATTGGCTTGGAAAAAATATTCGAGCATTTCGATATATTCATCCCATAACTGTGATGCATTATCAAAAGGACTCACCGTCCCCACCAATGAAGTCATTTTGTCTTGATAATCGCTGATATACTCTGCCAGTGATGTCGAGCGATCTGTTTACTCCAGCCTTTCTCAGCAATCAATCAATTATGTCCTCTGACACGCCACTCCTTAAATCCTCGTCGCCAATTATGTAATATTCTATGAAGCAGTAGAATCTGGAGGCAGGATGGATGTAATTTGAGGCTGTTTATTTAACAGATGCTGCACACAAAAACATGCTGTGGATCCGGCTAGGACAACAACACACTGCTCTGTCGAACTCTCAGTGGAAGGCTTCTTATTAGCTAAGGACCCCTCTAGCGGTCACACTACCTCATGACATGTTATTGCTAATTCACTACAACTATAGCAGCAGATCAGATTTACAAACAATAACAAATCTCTGTCTGTTAGCTTGTGTTTACCATTGCTATGGTGATTCAGTGTTTGCAAGGGAATGCAGAGATGTAAGTTGTTATATTAATAACAGTAGAAAACTATTAGATATATATCTTTTAATGTTTTAAATGCGTATTAACTGTGAAAATTGACCATTAATAAGATGCTGAAATGATTTCTATCATATATTTTTAATGAAGGATTGAGAGAAAAAAACAAGATTTGTATCTGTGAGTGAAATCTGCACACGAGTGCCACCTGGAGTTTTCCTGGTTTTTCGCTTTGATTTTGAATGATTTCCTTGGTGAGTTCGTGTTTTTTTTTTTTTTTTTTCATTATAACATGATTTAAACTAGTGTCAAAAATGTGTTTCATCAATTAACCATTTGTTTGGTCTAGTAAAAACACAGTATTATACACAGTATTATACAAGTGATTGTGTAAAGTTTAAGTGAGAGAGTTTAAGTAAAATGCTGTCATTTGTAAAAAGAAAATGCCAAATAGGAGAAAGAAATAGGAAAAACACAGAAATTCAGCAGAGAGAAGCATATACATGGTCATTTATTGTTGCTGTTTATTTACAAATGTGTTAAGCTGAGATAATGCATACACTGTAAAATGCTAATGGTTTTTTTCTCCCCTTTGTTTGTTTGCTTGTGCATCTTCTTCTGGTTTTTCATCGGTGAGATGTTCTATTGAAGTCAGTTGCTGAATGTGATCAGCTCTGCATTTGAATTAATTGAAGTGTGAACTCTTTTCTGGATTTGGATTGTCTCAACTTCCATCGGTGCGTGTCTAATTGTGGAGTTGGACTGGCGAGCCTCCCATTAAGTGGATTTTTTGGATACACCTGTTGGAAAGATACAAAGTGAAACCTATTCAGCGTCATGGTAAGAGTGTAAATTTACAACACACTCACAAGTGCAACATCCTGGATCTCTGGAACTGAATTTGCAACCTAGTTGTTTTGCAAAAGAATCTTTTTGAGTGTTCATCACCTGTACTGGACTTTTGGGACATTTTGAAATGTTTTAAGTGAATGTTTTATTTTCATTTTTATTTTATTTGTACATTGTTTCATTGGAGTGTTCATTTGTTGCAATTTTTGAAGCTTTATAGAGAGAAGTTAATTGGTTTAAGAAGGGAAACCTTGATTATATATTGAATAATAAAACAATTTTAGTATTGTATTATTAACTTACACTTAAAAACCTTTAATATAGTATTGTTATTAGTATATTAGTATTATATTATTGTTTATAATAGTAACCAAAATATAATATTAGACCTTAACAATAGAAAAACAGAAAAATAACATAATATTAACTTACCTTATTAGTGATACAGCCAAAAACCCAGTGAAGAAAGAGAAGTGTTATTAGAGAGTGTAAATAAGATTGAGGTCATTAGATGAGTGTGAAACAAGCCTAGAATTTGTTTTATTTATATTTATTATTAATTTTATTTTATATTTCTGTGAAAGTTTTACAATACAATCTTTTATTATTCTTACCTCTGTGTTCGAGTCCTTCACTGTTGTTGTATCTTCTCTCTCTTTGGAGAAATTTAGACTTCTGAGCATCTGGTCAATTGATTAACAGCTTATAATACATTTGTGTATCGAGGGTTACACGATCAAATGAACCTAAACGATTAAAAACGGCAACAAACATTATTTTGGCCCGAACTACAAAACCAAATGTAAAACAATTTTAGTATCAGTTTAGCTTAATTTGCACGCTAGTGTTTCAGGAGGGGAAATAGAATATTTAAGGGAGTTGTAGTCCATAGCGAAGTGTATTGTGGGTAGTGTAGTTCGACACGCAAGCTGGATGATGTGAGCTCAAGCAGAGCTTCGGCTTTGTTTTATGTTCACTCAAGTTATTCCCACCGGGAGCTGTTTGCACTGTGAACCTGACAACACGAAAATAAGTAAAAGAAGTGCATACATTAATTACTTTTCTCCGTCTCATCAACTGCACAAGCATGAATTAACGAGCTGTTATTCTGCCGCTGGACATCACTAAAGCAGAGAAAGTAACACTAGTTTGATCATGTTGTTACACCTGGCTCAAGGATGTAACATAATAAGGGAGACGACAAGGAGAAGTATAATCAAAAAGAATATTTATTTAACTCAATTTAAATTATATAATCAAAATATCAGTATCAGTATGTTTAATCAGTGTGAAATGCAAATGAATGGATGCGGTAAATGTAGTCAATGATAGTGTATGGATGCGAAAGAAAGCATAATGCCCAAATAGGAGCGCGGCTCTGGCGAACTGCCAAGTGTATAGACAGCGGCCCCGACAAACTCTCTACCGGGGTTTAAATAAGGGCGCTGACCAGCATCAGGTGCGCTGAAGGCACGCCCCCAATCTAGAATCAAAAATCAAACACAAACAAAACAACGCAGTCCTAACAATGTATAAATATCATTATAACTATATTGTATAAATATTGTTATAACTAGGCCTACAACAACCTGACAATCAAAAAACAAACGACATGATATCACAGGCGATTGTCTTCTGACTGTAGACACTTCTCATAGAGCTTGAGAAGCATACAGTACTATTTGATCTATAAAATTTGAAAAATAAACATTTGCAGGTTAAAGAAGCAGCATAGGATGAAGTTGTCGCGAGTCTTGGTGCAGATGAAAAGTTTAAAAAGTGTATTTGTATATAGAGTAAGGGTGGAGCCGAACCCCAATACGGTATTCGGAAAGGCACGAATAGCGTGTTTTTACGAATACTTGATTCGAACAAATACTTGAAAAATTATTTGTATTCGGAAGCAAGAAAAACACTATATCAAAAAGCAGCGTTTCCTCATGAGACCACAGTGCATGCCCGCGTGAGAGAGAGAGAGAGGCAAAACGCGCCAAAGCCCGAAACTGAAAGCGAGACGTGACTTTTAAGGGGTTGTTTCATATGGATTTATTAATCATTCTTACTGTTCGGTGATCGCTAACTGCCGTAGTTTATTAAAGACGCAAACCTCTCACAGCACGTCAGCTGCGCGCCTTCAGCAGACCTCCTCATTCCTGCAGCACGAGAGCTTTATGATTGTTTATGCGCGCCAAAAGTGGCGGATCTGTCCGGTAAAATATCTGACTGCGTGTCACCGCATCCCTAAGGACTGTTTGGCGAAATATTTGACTGCATGTCACTGCATATCAAACGACTGAAAGGATATAACTAGAGAACTCTCCACTGTGCTACTGGGTGAGAGCATATGGCAAGCCGTTTTAGCATTTAAACCTTGTTCAGACTATCCATAAATATATTTAGAGATATCTCTAATTATATTTTGACTTGTCATAATTATAATTCGACTAGTCAGATTGGAAATATCTGCAAATATATTATGATAGACTAGTCATATTCCTCCATTGACTTCCATTGAAAAATATTTGTAGATATCTCTAAATAAGTTGACTAGTCACAATTGTAATTAGATATATCTCCAAATGAATTTTGACTAGTAAAAAATCCAATTCAAGATATCTACAACTGTAATTAGACTTTTAGTAAATTAATTAGAGATATCTTCAAATATATTTGTAAATATCTCTAAATATGATGAATTAAAGATATCTCTAAATGTATTATGACTAGTAAAAATTACAATTGTTACTAG